GTTTATACACAGACAAGTTTGGGAAGGAGCCTCTATTCTAGCAGAATGCTACTCTTCCAAAGACAACCTCCTTAACAGCAGAATCCCCTTCCTTAACACTGATAACCTACTGCAGTAAAATAATGGCTAGAAAAACTTCCCAGACTGTGCTTCCAGAGCAGTGCGTGCTTGCAACAATTTAAATGTCTGTTGCACACTATCTTCAGGTGCAGCATGATCCATCTTTCAAACACTGCCAAGTTCACATCCATGTTCGTCTGTTCACTCTGAGGTTAAACTGCTCTTTCTTAGTTTAAAGGACTTCTTAATTGCTAAGATGTACAGACCCTTTTAGGAGTGTTTCAATATCATAAAATCAAGCTTAGGCATAAACAATCAAAAGCATTTAGCAGTGAAGTCCTTCAATGACTCTTGTGCCAACTGCTTGTAAGGAACAGAAAAGGCTGTGGGTGTAATTGAAGAATAAGCATAGTGATAACAGAATGCCAGATTACATTTTGCAAGTTAAGTCCACGTTATATACGCTTTAAAAATTCTATATAGAGTTGGTCTGATTTTAGGTAATCTTAATGTTCTGTGCAGTGACAAGTATGTGGTAATTTCTATATCTGTATCTATTAACACACAGCTCGCACTTCCAGTTAAGTAGAATTACCTACAGTTACCAAGCCAACTGGGAATTACATAAAAATAATTTACCAGCATTTCAGTAAGATTTGAACATCCAGCTTCCCGAAGTCCAGGCTTCTCTGACCAGTACGACCAAGAGTACTGCCTGTCTAAAAGCCAAACACGCAGCAAGGAGGGAAAAAGCAGAGATCTGACAGTAGAGGAAATCCAAGAAACTGAAAACTACACTGTGACATACATTCATAGAAATTGTAGTGTTGAACAGGTTATGACTAAGAGAATTAAAGATTATAATTTCTTTTTAGTAAGTGCAAGAGTGCCTTGCAAAAATGAAAGCAAACATCAGCCCCATTTTACAGATGGAAAATGGGAGTCCTAAAGGTAGCATTCACTTAAAGGTGAAGTGGCCAGGAAGGAACAAATCCAAGAACTACAGATTGGTCTTATATTTACATAGCAAAAGATGGTGCATTAGACTTTTGGGGTCCCACAAGGTGAAAGTCAGGCCTTTCAACAGTACAACAGACATTTTCTTCTTGCAGCATTTAAAGTTAGAAAGCCTTCTGAGTGGCAAAGTAAAACAACCATGTGCATGTATTTAACTTACTTTAACATAAGGCTTATTGTAATTCAGCCTCAAGACTGCATGATACAAAAAAAACCTCAGGCTATGGCAAGATGAGTTCAAAGCCATGTGTCTCTAGCTCTTTGTACCACAAGGAAATATTTTTTTTTCCCCCAATACCGTCCTTGCTTCTATTGTTTCTACAGCACACAAGCAAACTATATGGGTTCCAGCTCCTAGGACAGGTAACTCAAGCTGGTACTTGCATCGGCAAAATTGACTGTGACTTAGAAAACAGATGGCTACAGATCCTGTCACAGAACAAATCTGCAGAATACAGAGCTCTCATGAAAGTGAAATGCAGCAGACCAGGCACTACTCGGTCTATTATTGCTTCAGGGACATATGTATTTTAGTGACCAATAACGCGTGACAAATAGAAATCCAAACCAAAGAACACACAGAGCAACTTTGAAAAGGAGACACAGTAGCCCAAACACTTCTCAGCCTATTATTGCTTTAGGGATACATGTATTTTAGTGCTGATAAGGTATGAGAAACAGAAATCCAAACAAAAAACACCATGCACTGCTTCTGGATGATTCAGCTACACTGGAAACATACTCTCACAGGACTAGGAAGTGTGCACACAGGCATTGTTATTGTTTACTACAAGTAACTGAATCATTAGCTTTAAGCAAGAAACAGAGCACTGCTACCAGCAGAGTATCACAGAAGATTAATATAAGCATTTACAAAGAAATATGACATGCACCATCTTCAACAGCTTCAGCATCTTAAAACCTTTTCTAACAAATCTTCCTGTATTTTTCAGTTGTAGCTCAGTATAACATCTATATCTACCTTACAGACTTAATTTTATATGAACGTACAATTACCTAATGAACAGATTAATATCTCTTCTTGTAAAGTACTGTACTAATTAATCAAGGTCATGAGTCAGTAGAATCACACTGGCTTAAAACTGGTGAGAGTGTCAAGTCAGGCTTCTTCAAGTTGTCTCTCTTGCTCATTGCCACAGCACAGATGAAAACTAGTTACCCTGTGTTGGTGCTAGACTATAAAAGTTCACATTATCTAAGCCAAGAGACATATCTCTACATGATAAAAACTTAAAGAAGAAGAAATAATTTAGCCAAGAACTATACATTCCCACTTGATTAAGAAAAATAATAATGAAGAAGCACAAAGAAGAGCTTCATATTCCAAATGGTACCTTCTCCTGTCCTCCAGAGCACAGCTATAGCATTCATTCCCAACAACACTAATCCTGAAAATCTCCACAACTCGTTTACAGTATCCTTTAGTATAGCTACCTTCAATTGCATTTCTTGTCACTGCAAAAATACAACCTCCTAATTAAAATAGTCATTAATGCAATTTTATTTTATTACTCGATTCTTCCTGCGCATGTGCACACAGTTCTCCAAATGACTGGTTTCCTACTTCCTACCTTAACTGTCGGGGGGGCCTGGATCAGACGTTCCTTCTCACCAACAAGACCTAGGGCAGACAAGTGTGCCAAATGAGTTCCTGAGGTTCCAGAGGTGCTGCTTTACCATTCACACTTCCAGTTCCCTCTTCTTTGTACCAGTGCAAAGAGTGTGGTTTCCCTATATCCAAGTCTAAATGAAGCTCCCTCATAAGGGAAATTTGGGAATAAGAAGACATTGAAGCTACACAAATAGAAACTGAAGAGTTTGACTGCAACAAAGTGGTCTGTAAGAAGTCCCCATTACATCTATCATGCACTGTTCCATTTCCTGGAAAGAGCCTGTAGGAAGAAAAGCAGAATTAATAAAACAGCTTGAGCCAGCAGGCTACCAGGCAGGTCCTCATCCAACCAGCACACAGCCATAGGGGTTTATGCCTCAGCAACCCATCTAAACAGTCACATGCACAAAATCACACTTGTGGAAGAAAGACACAAGGGAGTGTATGAACATGAGCAGAGGCTCTATTAAGCCAGCCAGAAACAGGTTAAGATTCTAGGTATAGAAAACCAGAAAACACACGCATAGTCCCTTAGAAGTTTCACCATTGCAGGGTGAATTACTAAGAATTAATTTCTGAATAGACTAAATGTAAATATTCTAAGCAGGTGGCTCAGATCTTACTAAAGACACAACTGGTATTACAGAAGAGACAGACCTGCTGGTCTTAGCTATGAGGAAAAACCTCCTCTGCACCCCTGCGTTTGTAAGCTCAGAGCACTGTTGCCTTCTGTGCAAGGGAGCACTCCATATCTAAGAGGATAATGATAAATCGCCCAGATAGTACTTGGGCATCAGGGAAAGCAATTAACTTTGAATCAAGGAGAGGCCCTGCAGACAGATACAACAGACAGCTTTTGACTCCAGGGAAAGAAGATTCAAAAGTATGTGGCGATAGGCAGAATCAAAGCCAAAACACAGGCTGTATCTTTCCTTACTTTAAAAACACCATCAACGGACACAAATGAAAGCAAAACAACACAGCTTGACCTAAAAATTATGCCCTGAAACTACAGCTTTTTCAGAAGCACACTGTTGAACATGATAATGTTTTCTTTACCTTAGCTAGTAAAACTGGAGACAGGTCAGGAGAGGAGGATGCACAAAGGCAATTACATGGAGCATGCAGGTGTGGGCAACTATTGTGCACCACTCCTACCTTAGATTTTAAGATAAATACTACCTTCTTGTCCAAGCTTTCAAGGAATTTGTAAAGTACATTCCAACTCACTAAAAGAGAAGTTACTCTAATCAGCATGCCCAGATTTCTGCTATATGCACCAATGACTTTTTCCAGGAACATGCCAGTCAAACATTACAGGAGAAAGTCCTACATTCTGTGCCTTTTTTCTCCTCCTACTCAAGAACGACATAAAGCACTAAACCAGACCCTGGTATTCAGCTCAAAATATTACCACAGTGATTGAATTCCTGGGCTCAAACATCATGGCTGTCTATGTCTTTTTCACCCCTTTCTTCAAGATCTTGAAGCTGTCCAGGTGGCTGCAGCTTTCCATTGGTACCGAGGTTGGACTGGTGAGGTAAGCAGTGCCTATGATTAATGCAGGAGCAGGGAATCTGTGACGCAAAAGACTTAGTTGCTTAACTCCATAGCAAATAAACCAGACTTCGACTTTTCCCTCAGGCAGATTCCCCATTCCTGTGCTAACATAGCTACTACTGACCTCAGCAATACAATAATCAAGGACTTGTGAACAAACAAAAAAGGTCACATATGCAAACATTTGCTGAAGTACGTGCTTAAAGTACACACAGCTCTGGTCTTAACCAGTACTTCCTCCATGCTCTCTGTGCTCTAGTTCATCTGCTACCACACTGCCTTTCTCAGATGTTTGACTCTCCCCAGGATCCATCTTAGCTCCAACCAACAATTATAAAAAAATTAACCAACCAAATTGAGAGAGTGCTTTGTGGCAAGTCCCTTCAACTTCATATCCTTAACCTCAGAGATTAAGCAAAACTTACTAAGTGGGCAGCTACAAACAGAAAAATTAAGTTCAAGAGACACAGTTAGACACCTTAAGTTCTAATACAGCTAGGAATAACAAATACAGTACATTGATCTGAATTGTTATCACACAAAAAATAATGTAAAAGCCAGTTTTTCTCCTACTGCCACATGGTGGACAAGTAGATTCCAAAGGAGTACTGTCTCTGACTCAATACACCATCTTCCATCAACTGTACTGTAGAACTTAGGCTTCCGGTTTTACCTGTTTCCAACTGGACTCCAGTTACATGTTCAAACAACCAGCAAAAACATTCCCTACCTCCAACACCTCATGTAGGTTCTGTGCTTCAATTATCTTTCTAGATTTCTGAAATCGCTCCAGCCTCATTGTCATAGCTTTCATCAATATATTTAGTTATCTACCACTTTTTCTATAAAAAGCTCAGCAATCATTTATTAAGTATATTTGTTTCAATATACAGCTTTTGCTTCCAACTTATTAGCTTTTTTTCATCTTTAATTCCTTGATATTTTTTGCTGTTGAATGGTGAAATATGAAGCATACACTACAACTGCCAGTTCAGCAGCACAAGAGAAAACTGCAACATACTCTGAAGGTAGCTGTCTTCACATCAGGATCATCTAAATCATCTTCCACACTGCCTGAAAAATGTTTTTGCCTTGAAACTGCCTCAGGAGCAGAAGTAGAATGAATTCATTGATGTAAAATGCTCACCAGCAAAGCACAAGCCCCAAGGCTGGTGCCAGGTGCTTCTGGAAAACAACAGCTCTAATGAGAGCCAAGGAGCCTTTCATATTAGCCACTGCTCCCTTGATGAATTACACTGGAAAAAACAGGGAGAAGGGGGAAGAAAAGCTCAAGTAGAGAAGCTGGGGTGACAGCTTCTGAATATACAGGAAGCAAGAGGAGAATACCCCAGAGGAACAACCAAAAGACAAGTTGCATGTATCAATAAACAGACTTTTAAAAAAAAATCCACACAAATGCTTCAGTGTCTGAGCCCACTAACACAACTGCCACAGAAAGACATGGCTGAACTTGCAGGAAAGACAAGGCAGGAGCAATCCCTTGGGTATGGGACTGCAAAACAAGTATTCCCTGCTTGAAGGGGAGGAGCATGAGAAAGAAGTCTGTCTCCAGCTGCAAGAAGTGGGCATCCTTATTATTTAACCAGTATTTAGGACTCAGTGAACTTTGAGGTAATTAATTATAGCAGCTGTATGCTCTTAAGTAGATTTTAATAGAGTATCTTGTACTTCTGAATACATTAATTTATTTTCAAATGAAGCATTTGGGGAGTCTTAGGCATAATTACCGGTGTATTCAAAGAAAATACCATTCTGAAGGTGAATTTTTCTTCAGTGGTTTCCCACTTTGACTGTTTACAGTCTGAGTATATAAACAGCCAAGGAAAAAAGATAATTTAAAAAAACACTTCTTTTCAGAATCTACTTTCAGTGATTTTAATTTTTTCATGGCTTCTCAGGATACAAGTGGCAAAGTGCACACTAGTACACTCAGAATAAAAATTAAGTGCATATACTGGTAGCGTACAGCAGAAGACAGTAGCCAGTGGTTCAAATCTGCTGCTTGGACTGTCCTCATGCCTCTGCTAATGGGACTGGCATCAGCTTCAGCCAAACAAGTCCCTCAAATCCAAGAGATCCAGCTGAATTATTTGTTATCTTTAACATCATGGTAAGTGGATGCCACTGGTCTCTGGTTCCTGTAGCAAACAAAGCGTTTTGAAAATAAGGCCATCTACGGTGCTCACATGAATTTTTCAAGATAGGTAAGAAAACACCTGTGTTTAACACTGCAAGCTTCCTTCAAGTTGCCTTTTTATAAGGAGTAAGAGGCTCACAAGTTTAAATTATATGTCACATATGAACCGGATGCACTGTATTTTTTCCAAAATGAACAAAAATACATCAAATACAACAGGAATTGGGTTTTATGTGATAGAGCAGTTTGATGAAGTATGTAAAATTGTTTTTTCTGATTCCCATGTTGTAGAGACTGAAAACCAATGTCAAGGCTTATGAACTATGGGAATTTTTTTGTTAAGTTAAACAAAAACAGCAAAAAGCACAAAGCAAAGGATAAAAAAAGAAAAAATCTTTTGACTTTAAACTGTTTCTAGAAATCAAAAGTCCAAACACTTTCTTAGATATAACTGTGTACTTAATCCTTTATTCTGAAGTGGTCACTAAATATTTGCCAAAGCTAGCAATACTTACAAGTTGCTGATCTTCTTGTATTACATCATCAGACAAAACAATAATAGAGTCAGTGCTTGTTGACACACAAGTGAACTGAGCATATCACTGTGTATCCTGGCCAATGCACAAAAAAAACCAGAGGACTTCAAAGACAGTTTTTCGTTTTAATGTACTCCTGGTATGCTGCAAGATCACATCTCCAGTCAGAAGCAGAAGAACAGATAAAGCTCTTAAGATGCAAAGATCCACCCCTGAGCACACACAGTAATGTCAGTAGCTATAAATCCTGGAAACTTGGGTGAGCATTTCAGGTCACTGGCAGTACAAGAGTCAATTCCAAGAATGTGGAATTTGTCCCTCCATTCACCTCCATCCCTACTGCAAGCTTGTAATAACAACCCACTGCCTCTGGAGAAAAACAACACCCTATGAATCTCTGGACTGAAAATTACAAGCATCTGCCATAAGCAGCACAGCGTATCTGGGAGCAGAGGGTGACTCTGCCCTCCAAAATGCACCCAGGTATACATTTCTTTCAAAAAAATCTGAACACTCACTTATAAAAACAGACTGAAGAGAGCTTCCCATGGAGGGAGATTAGTCTGCAATTCTTTTCCAAGATCTAAATACATAGTACCTGAAAAAGCTCAGTAGTACACTAAAAAAATCCAAAATAAGCAAACAGAAAAATCCCAACCTGACCCCCCACCAAAAAAACCCACAAACAACAAAAAAAACCCCAACGAAACAGCACATATATCCTGATCTGTAATAGGCAGTAAGTTATACTGGCTATTTTCCAGTATTTTCACAGCATACTTGGTAGTCCAGCTGTAACAGTGGACCTTAACAACTGTAAAGGTAACACAGAACTGGTACTACATGATACGAGTCCTTTGGTTAATTATGGTTATTTTTGTTATTTGCTACTGGACCTTACTGTGACCCATCAGGGAGCCCTGAACCATATGCCAATGCTTTTCACTCCTGCCTGATTCTGTGCACAATCCCATTTCCTCTGCTCAAAAAATGACCTACCTATGCAGTAAAAAGATGCTATCAGGAACACTACATATGTCATATTCAAATACAGCCTTTAAAAAAAATAAAAATAACCATACTACAGACATTTTGAGTACGAAGCCAGCACTGAGCAGTAGGCCCACTGTGAAGATAAATCAGATACTAGCAAGGACAGGGCTCAGAGAGAAGACAAGGCACTTAACCAGTCAGGTCTCCATTTGCATTGCAGACCTAGTAGCAGAGTACATGCACACACAGTGGTCCTAAGAAGCAATGCTGCTTTCACAAGGGCTTGTGTAGCGTGTGCATTGAGTAACACTGATGCAGAAAACAAACCACTGAAGAGCTGATCATTAATTGAGCACCATTTATTCTGCATGAACAAGACAGGAGCATCTAATCATCCAACTAATGATTGTCTGTTAAGATCGAGATCAACTCTGAATGAGCAAGCTTAACTCTGTCACTTCCTGAACTCTTTGTAAATCAAACAGCTTTCCTTCCACAGCTGGTACATTAATGTTCTTGGAAAAGCAACCTGAACAGCACACTACCTGAAAGAACATGCCAACACCCACGTATATCAGCTGCAACTTTAAAACCTTCCAGCATCCTCAGATGCCAGAAGAATGAGATGCTCCCACTGCAGACTGGCCAGTGACTGAAACATCTGGCCAATGGGTTCAGACAACAAAATTTTTGTAAAATTAGGACACTGGCCTGATTACAGTCTAACAGGTGATTTTGCAAACATAGCTATTTACTAATATAATTCCTAGTCTCTACTATGTTTAGTCCCAGTGCTTACTCTATTCATCCTCCACTTCCCTTCTCACGGAAGCAGATTTTCAGTAGAATTATATCTTGTCTATGGCCATACCAGAGAGGGTAGTGACAGGTCAAGGGGTAATAATTTTAAAGTGAAAGAGGGGAGATTTAGGTGAGAGATCAGGAAGAAATTCTTCACCATAAGGGTAGTAAGTGCTGGAATAGATTGCCCAAGGAGGTTGTGGAAGCCCCCTCCCTAGAGGTGTAGAAGGCCGGGTTGGATGAGGCTTTGTGCAGCCCGGTCTGGTGGGAGGTGTCCCTGCTTACAGCAGAGAGGTTAGGATCTGATGATCATTAAGGTCCCTTCCAACCTTAACCATTCTATGATTCTATGCCTAGCATGAAACACCTTTGGTGTTTCAGTTCTGGCATGTCCTCAGACTTTGGAAGGACAGACCAAAGAGCAGCCAACTGAAGAACATGGATTTCTTACCAAGTGTGCAAACTACACCAGCCCACACACAAGGCAAACCTCAATGCTGTGACAAGTGTGGATGGTCACCCTTCAGCAACAAATGCCTTGGTCCAAATACACTTTGTACCAATGACATTTTTCCTAGCTAATCTCATACAAAGCACTACCAAGCACATGTGATCCAATTTCCTAAATGTTTGAATTTCGCCTACATTTGCTGCAATGAATATCCATCCATATGTTGCATTCCTGACTCCAGGCTCAGCCAAATTCCCAAAGAGTCAGACACCAAAGCTGCCTGGAAAGGGGCAGGTGTGAGGGAAGGAATGATGGCCATAGCTGATGTAACTTTCTTTGCATTCCCTATATTTTGTAAAGGGGAGGATGTATGGAAAGTAACTGTTTCAAACCATTAAAATCTATTCAACATTAGCAATAAAATATTATTTTGGCTTGTTCTTAAGAGAACATCCTTATTTTCCAGGCACACCTCCTTCTGTAATTGCTGTGAAGAAGAGATATTTTTTTTATCTGAATACAGCTCTACAGAAAATTGTAAGAAACGGACAAGACAGAGAAGTGTTCATCATTTCAGCATATATCCTGTGGTTTTCCTCCTTGAAAGTTTAACTATAGTCCTTTATAGGTCATAGTCACAGGAAAAATGGCCATATTGTCACACAGACACAATTAACACAGACCTGCCCTGTACCAGCAAGAGTGAACCGAAGTCCCACAGGTAACCATCACTGCATCTGCTTTTACAGCACCACAGTACTGCCCAAATATAGTAATTTATTTATTAAATGCAAGCAAACATGTGTTTTTGGAGTAGATCTCTTCATGCACATTTGGCAGAGGTACAGGAAACCAACCTCAAAAATGTATAAAATCATACACAGTTAAGGAGTTTTTATTGTTCTGCAGGTAGGAAAGCACTTCATAACACTGCTCCATCATGCTCCTACATTTCAGCATTTTTCACTTTCACTGAAGAGCCACATTTACTGAGCGACTCCTCACACCACAGCTAGGAAGTTCTTGTTCACTGTGGGCAGTAAAATGACAGGACTCCAAGAGAAGAAAGGAAAGAAACTGGTTAAAAGTTCCACCAGTTTCCAATGCCTTCACGAAAATATCAAGGCTCCCTCTGGTGGGGGATTTAATGTACCGATTGTTGCAGTTGGCTGTAGGAGAACAGTTCTAACCACAACATTTTTTCTTTTGTAAAATAAACCTTGTTAGGATCGGATTCTGCGATTCTTGGAGTCTCTTGTGATGCTCCAGTCACAGCAACTTAAGGTAATGCTTTACTTCTTCTAGCCTAAGCTCCATGACATAAAGAAAAGCAACCTCCAATAAAAAGGAGAAAATATCGCATTTAAAAAATATAAATTAGTATCCTTGTGCTCCAAAATTCTCAGAACACTTCTCAGTCTTTACTTCAGCTTTCCAGAGTCCCAGCAAAACCAACATCTCTGCCCCAATGGGGAAAGAAACCAAAGAGAGATCTCACCCCACAGACCACGCAAGCAATCTGTAGCTGTAGAAAAGAACCCCTAGATCACAATTTCCATTTCTGTGTTTAATATACTAATTATATTATGCCTCAAGTCTCATATTCTCTTTACAATACCAATGTCATTTATTTGCCCCACTGTAAGACAATTCCAGCAAGCCTACGTAGCTCTCTACAAGACACACATACACAAGAGTCAAACAAACCATCCGTCCTCTTCCTCCCTCTTCCCCTTCAAGTTGTCAATTTAACCAGCTACAGTGAACAAAGAACGTAAGAAGCTTGACAAATACACAAAGATGTCAAATTTCATATTTTTGTTATGTACCACTAAAGGTATGTACTGCATATTGCCATCAAAATATCTGTTCTGACATCTCATAGTCAAATTTAGTTTTCTTGCATCCTGAACATTATCCCCGTAATCACCATCCTGCAGTCTGAAGTCCTGGTTTTAAAAAATGCAGAGAAGTCGCAATTAAAAATTTAAAAAAAAACCCCACACAACTCAGCGTGGTAAAGCTACAACCTGAAGATGTCCCTTACTGTACAAGAAAACCAGTGTGAGCCCTTTCAAAAATGGAATCAGTTTTATTTCTGACAGCCCTTATTATGACTCACTAACTTTTCTTCCTTAATAAGACTAGGAACTGCATCACAGCAAGTTTGTCTACAACAAGCCAGATAATTCAAAAAATTATTCAATGGCTAAGAAACAGATCTTTGCTACGTAGAGGAAAACAAGTCTAACTCTCAATTTGTTCTCATGGTTTTAGATAGAAAGGGTTGCCAGATGACAGAAGGAAAAATTCACTTCTCTGTGGGTTGTTTTCTTTCCTTTTTTAATACATAACCTCATATAGCCCATCTTGGATTAGGAGAATAATTCAATTACTGCCTGACAGGATGGCAGTTGAAAAAGAGCAATCAAAAGTCTGGGGATATTTAGAATATAGCTGGCACAGAAACCAGTCTCAAAGGCTAAAGAAAGCACTCCTCACCACTTCAGGTTTTTTGGGACCACTATAAAGTTTTACCAGAACCTACTGCTTGCAAGTTATGCAACACATATAGGAAGACACTCTAAGAGCAGCAATTCACGTTCCCTTCTGCAGGACGCTATTAATTAAATCCAAAGCCTTACACAGCAAGTGTCATCGTATTTGACCAGAGATCACTACTTCATTTGGTCCCAAAAGCATTCCGATAGTGCCCAATGAAAAGCAAAGCTGAGCGGGGAACCAGAAGAGAGGTATTTACAGTCCAGAAAGACAGGCATGATCTTGATTCCTGAGTTCCCAGACCCCTTGAAATGCAAAGCTTACGGTCTGATCTGTTGACACACACAGACCTCCCTAAAGAGGAATTTGCAGAAAGGATGAAAGACCACTCTCCTCGTACAGAAACCAGACAACCCTCCCCAAAACGGGCTAGGACTACACCACCTGCAAGTAAAAATGAAGAGGGCAAGCATCCCTCTCCATGTCACGCCGCGATGGCCAGCAGACCCTCTCTCGACCTCAGCCCGGTGAAACACTTCCCTATTCCAACCCCACGGGCCGATGCTGGCGGGCTGCCTCACATAAACGGGCTGTGGACGCGAAGGGACGGGCGGATTTGGGGCTCGGTTCAACCCTCCTCCCGGGGGAGCTTTTCCCTCGCCGGGGCAAGACCCGAGGTCCCCCGGGAGCGGCGCGCAGGGGTCTGGGGGTGCAGCCGGAGGGGCGCGGCACTCACCGATG